AATTAAAATAAAGCTGTATCTGTTATGTATTTGATAATGTTTTGAACACTTAAAATATTACATGGTAAAAACAGAAGCTGCTCTTCATATTAGTGACAAACTTTGGTGTTTTTTGACGAGTTACTTTCATTTTTGCTTCTACTTTTCATTTAAAATAAGTTTCCATTCTCAGCAGGTTTCCAAGGTTCTTCTTCTACACATTAAAAAAGTGGTTAAACAACTGAGTGGTGCACTACTGCTACTAGTGGTGAGAAAGTGTATTGCACCTGATTCAAAATCAATGCAGTCCCACGGCCCTCTGCGGCCCAAAGTTAAAAACTGTTGTTCTTAACCCTTTTGGGTTAAGAATCTCTGTTATAGTGTTACAGGGTCTTACAGACGGATGCTCCCATTTCTGCAGATGAGCTGCCCAGCTTTGTTGTGTTGGTAGAATCTTTCCATTTTTTAATAATGGATTTATTTCAGCTTAATGGGATGCTCAGGGTTTAGGATTTTTCTATTATATTCCAACCATGATCTTCACTTGTTCACAAGTTTGTCTTTGACTTGTGTGGAAAGTTTCTCAGTTTTCATGATGCATCTTGTTGAAAGGTAGGTCTCTTACTACAAAGAGGTTTTGATTCTGGGATCTGGAGTGTTTCTGTAGAATAAAAGATAAATGAGGATGAGGACAGATCAAAACCTTTTTTAATCATTCAACCTGATTTCCATTTTCAACTCTGCCTCAGACCTCATAATGATCTTACCATTGATCTATATTACTGGACTGGACATCGTCTATAGCCGCTATAGCTAGCTACGCTCCGTCACAGGAGCCTTTGCTATGCATTGAGTCATGTCAACAAAACAGTAGAGTTTCAATGCGGGATGAGCGTCAATCGGTCACAAAAATATTCGTAGCACCCTCATTTCTTATCCGATTTCTATAAAATATGGCTTAAATTAAAACTGAGAAAATTGCCGATGTTGTGATGTAAAAATTTAATTAATGAAAAATAAAACAATTTGTTGGAACAGCAAATTTGTCTTTATGTGACAGAAAGGGGCTTCTACTGTAGATACGTTAGCAAAAACCTATAATGAAAAGTTCCCAGACTGCTTATGGATTCATCTCTTGAGTAAATACACATTTTTTTACATATCACAACATCGGCAATTTTCTCAGCTTTAATTTAAGCCACATTTTATAGAAATCGGATAAGAAATGAGGGTGCTATGAATATTTTTGTGACCGATTGACGCGCATCCCGCATTGAAACTACCGTTTTGTTGACATGACTCAATGCATAGAAATGGCTCCTGTGTGGCCCACAATAAGTCACGTGATGTCCAATCCAGTAATATAGATCAGTGGATCTTACTCTGTCATCTTGTGCAAACGGAGAAGGATTTTTCATCTATGGTTTTAGATTTTGAATTGGTTCTAGGTGTAAATAATTTGAATGGTATTTTTATACTCCTGTTGAAGGTGAAGGTATTATAATATAGTCTCTGTCTGTTTGTACATCCGTTCATAGACCTTCTCTTGTCTGGCTCATAACTTATCCTAATCCAATCAAGATAGCAAAACTTCACACAGTACTGATACTGATTATCTCACTGCAAACTGTTCATCAGTTCCTCTCCTTTTTGTTAGGTCTATGAAGAGCTAAGAGCGATTGGAGCTGCAGCAGCTGAAGCAAAGGCCAGAAGAATCCTGGCTGGTCTGTCCTTCACCCCTGAGATGCAGAACAGAGCCACCAAAAGGTTCTCAGGAGGCTGGAGAATGAGAGTTTCTCTTGCTAGGTAAATGCAGAAACCTGCTGAGCTTTTATAATACAGATCCAGTTTCTGTTCTCTAACCATTAATACATGTCTAAAACAGAGTGAAAGTGCATTAATGTGAGCATTTACATTCATATACACACAAGATATAGCATAGTTAATTCAGGACTTATTGAGCATGAATAAATAATGAGTATGTTGGTTTTGGTAATTAGCCTTTATGGGTAAAGCATTAATAAATGTGTTTATTTATAGCATATTAAGTGTGAATCGTCCTTTATTAATGATGTTTTCAAGGTTAACTAACCATTTGTTAATGATTAAGTAAGGCTGAATAAGGTGTAGTTACTATAACTGTTTTCATAAAAATTCTGTATTTTTGCTTTGATTTCTGCTACTTTCAGCAAACTCATTGAGCACTTGATATTTAATATTCACTCTGAACCTTTGCAGAAAATGTTTTTTCTCTAGTTTATTTATTTTCACTCATCCTCTCTGTACCTGCAGAGCCCTGTTCATGGAGCCCACCCTGCTGCTGCTGGATGAACCCACCAACCACCTGGATCTAAATGCTGTCATCTGGCTCAATAAGTATGATCATAGATTTCAAAACAAAATCTGATACTTTATTTTTTTATATATCATTTACAATTATTAGTTGTTAGAAATTGAGAATAAGAATGAATACCTTTGAATTTAATAAGCAGAATTAAAAAACTGAAACTGTATAATGGTTTTATCAACTTTTTCAGATTTAATTTTTTTTGTCTGACATATCAGACATTTTTTTAAAATAGCTGCTTTAAAAAAGTCAAGTTAATGTTTTGTTTTACATTTTTAAATAAAAGTCGCTGTATTTTTTACTTCCAGCTACCTTCAAGGTTGGAAGAAAACTCTCCTAATAGTTTCCCACGACCAGAGTTTTCTTGATGATGTGTGCACAGATATCATCCACCTAGACAACCAAAAACTATATTACTACAGAGGAAACTATTGTAAGTATTGATTCATTCTTTTTAAAACTACAGAACTTTCTGTTTTTCATCTGATTTTTGAATAAAGTAGGAAATTCACAAAGACCAGTTTGCCTGTGTTCACAATTAACTGTAAGAAAAAAAACCCGAGTTTTTATCTAACTCTGTGGGTTTTATGAAGTAGTAATTTACTTTTATTTTAGAAACTTCTGGGCTTTGCTAAAATACCAATCAATTCGATAAATCCTGTGATAATACGCAGTGGGGGAAATAATTAGTTGATCCCTGTTGATTTCACAAGTTTGCTCATTAACAAAGAAGTAAACAATTTCTCATTTTATGGTTGTTTTCATTTTTATATAGAAACAAAAATATCAAATAAAAATGTCAACAAAACACAAAAGTTATAAATGAATTTACTTGTTACTAATTAATTAATTTAATCCTCAGTACTTGGTGGAAAAACGTAAGGTTATGAATATAACCACGGTTCCTTGAAGGAATGGAACGAAGTACAACACACAGTTGTATATGGGACACGCGTCCTCGCGGACCTGGCTGAAGCCACCTCTAATCACATCTTTAGACCGGTGACGTGGTAACGTTGAACGTCGGGTGACTCCGCCTTCACCCTATAAGTTCGTAGTCACCAGCGTCATTACTCAGATACCGCCCTTCACCGAGCCTTTGTGATGCGGGGCCAACAAGGTGTTGTACTTCGTTCCATTCCTTCAAGGAGCTGTGGTTATATTCATAACCTTACGTTCCTTTTCAGTCATTTCACTCAGTACAACACACAGTTGGATATGGGACTTGTCAAAGCGCCCCGCACAGCAGTATCAGACCTGAGTTAAGTATTGTGCCTGAGTAAGTACTGAGTAAGTAAATGCAGAGCTTTGGACCCGGCAGAAAGTACAGAATGAGCCACTGAAGGTGCTGTTACATCCAGGCTGTAAAATCGTGCAAATGTGTTTGGTGAGGCCAAGCTGGCCGCGGCACAAATGTCACTCACAGGTTCCCCTTTAAAAAGGGCCCAAGAAGTCGCTACACCCCTGGTGGAGTGAGCTTTAACTCCAAGAGGGATTGRAAGGTTTTTGCTGCTATATGCTAGCAAGATGGCCTCTACAATCCAGTGAGAGAGTCTTTGTCTAGAAAGAGCTTTACCTCTGTGTGGGTTAGCAACAGCCACAAACAGCTGATCACATGACCTTACATCCTGTGTGAGGCTGATATAAGTGTGTAGAGCACGTACGGGGCACAGAAGATGCAGCCTCTTTTGCTCCTCAGATGCAAAGGGGGGAGGTAAAAGCTGGAAAGCTGTATAGACATAGAGCTGTAACTAGAAGGTTTCACCTTAGGAAGATATGCAGAGTTAGGGTGCAAAACCACTTTAGAGTCATTAGTAGAAACTGGATACAGGAGGGGTTCACTGACAGAGTGTGGAGGTCCCCGACCTGTTTAGCTGTAGCTAAAGCCAGAAGCAAAGCAACTTTATATGAAAGAAACTTCAACTCTACAGACTCTAGAGGCTCAAATGGAGAGTCGCAGAGAGCCTCAAGAACCACAGTGAGGTCCCAAGAGGGAATACTGGGTTTAATAGCAGACCGTAGCTTACAAACCTCTTTCAGAAAACGCACAGCTGAAGGATGAGCACCAGGTGTGACTCCATCAAAACCTACATGGCAGGCAGAAAWKRSTGCTAAGTAGACTTTAATTGTGGAGAAGGAGAGCCCTTTATCCAGTAGCTCCTGAAGAAATGTTAAAACATCTCCTATTGCGCACTGAAAAGGGTCCAGGTGCCCGTTCTTACACCATCGCTCAAAAGCTTGCCACTTATAGGAATATAATCCTCTAGTGGATGAAGCTCTTACGTTTTGAATAGTTGCTATTACTGCTGGAGAAAGGCCTTTGGCTAATAAGCTGGACCTTTCAGCAGGTAAGCATGCAGCTTCCATAGTTCTGGGTGTGGGTGAAAAATCTCCCCCTCTGCTTGAGAGAGGAGATCTCGTTGAACCGGAAGTTGCCAGGGTTGAGCTGCTAGCAAGCTGATTATCTCAGCCTACCAAGACTTAGCTGGCCAGCGGGGTGCCACTAGGATCAAAGACAGGCTCTGTCCGTGCACCCTCTCTAGTAGAAGTGGTATCATTTCCACTGGGGGAAATGCATACAGAACATCGGGCCAAGGATGAGCTAGGGCGTCCACTCCCAGAGGAGCACTCTGCTCTGTCATGGAAAAGAACAGAGGACAGTGTGTGTTTGCTCTGGAGGCAAACAGATCTACTGTCGCTTTGCCAAACAAAACCCAAATCTGGGCCACCACAGTGGGATGCAGCCTCCACTCCTCTGCTAGAGGTCCGCCCCTGGAGAGGAGGTCTGGACCTAGGTTCAGAGGTTCAGTCTCCCCGGAACATGAATGGCTCTGATAGACAGAAAATGAACACTGCTCCACTGTAAAAGAGTGTGAGACAGGTTCAGCAGGGGAAGGGACCGAGTCCCCCCTTGTCTGTTTATATAACAGACCACTGCTGTGTTGTCCGTTCTGATTAGAAGATGATGGTTCTCCAGAACTGGACAAAAATGTTTCAGTGCTAACAGGACTGCTAACAATTCTAGGCAGTTTATGTGGAGCCTGGACTGTTGTGGAGTCCAGGTTCCCCTCACCACCGCACCGTCGCACAGGGCTCCCCAACCTTTCAGGGAGGCGTCTGTGGACACCACTTTGCGAAACGACACCCTCCTTATTGGAGAACCCTGATACAGGAGGCCGGGTTCCCTCCAGGGGCTGAGAGCCGTCATGCAGGAAGCAGTTATTGTTAGCTTTTTGTGTCTGTGTCGAGACGGACACAGCCTGTGGGACTGAGACCAACGCTGAAAATGGCACATTTTTAACAGCTCGAGTGGTACTACTGAAATCATGGAAGCCATCATACCAGTAACTGTAGTACGGTTTTGAAGCTCAGTTTGCATCCCAGTTGAAACTGAGCTAAGCAGTGGTGAAACGCAGCCGCTCTGTTTTCTGAGAGGCAAGCCCTGCTTGACAAGGAGCAGACTTCTAGTCCGAGGAACAAAAACTGCTGACTTGGTGTTAATAAACTTTTCTGGGTGTTTACTAAAAACCCTAAAGCCTGAATGTGTGACAGAACCTGAGACAGCTGATCTAATGTTTGCTCCTTGGAGCTTGCGATCAGAGCCCAGTCGTCTAAACATGCTAACAGATGGACCCCCCTTTCCCTGAGGGGAGTCAACACAGCTTCTACGCACTTTGAAAAGGTGCGAGGAGCTAGCGACAGACCGAACGGTAGCACCAGATACTCGTAGGCTACACCCTCGAAGGCGAACCTGAGATATTTCCTGTGCTCCGGGTGAATCGCTATGTGAAAATACGCATCTGTTAAATCGATGGTCACAAACCAATTGCCCGGGCTGATAGAGTGAATTAGCTGTTTGAGCGTTAACATTTTGAACCTGTATGTTTGAAGGTACTGGTTTAACACTCTCTGATCCAAAATAGGCCGCAGGCCGCCCCCTTCCTTCAGAACAAGAAAATAACGTCTGTACAGACCTTTTTGTGTTTCTGCAGCTGGAACCACTCGAATAGCTCTCTTTGTTAGCAACGTGCAAATTTCTTTTAAAATGGCGGCTGCCTCGTTTGTCAGCACTGTGTTTACAATGTCCCGAAAGTGAGGCGGCCTGACGCGGAACTGCAGCCTGTAACCCATAGCAACAGTTCTTTGTACCCATGGAGAGGGTGCGCATGCGCGCCAGAGAGAGAGTCGCGTTGCTAATCGACTGACTTGCCTTACTGTCGGAGACGTGTCGCTGCTGCCCTCCACTGGATGGGGAAGGGACAACATTATTGACTGTCGCCCGCAGCTTATTGTGTTCGTTTGTGCACAAAGATAATTCTTTAATGACACATTGAAAACAATTGCAGAACTGTTTATTAAAGTTTTGCATTTTAAAACACAATTTGCACCCAGGGAGGGGGCTACATGTTTTTTGTTTATTTTTCGGGACATTAACAGAGGAGACTGAACATTTGAAACCCGACACCTCTTGGGGCCGTTTTCTGAAACACAAATGTCTTTTCAACGGCAGCTGAACATTGTCTCTCTGTTTTTGAAGTCCCTGTGAAGACAGTCCTGCTGTTAGGAGGACTGCTGACTCGGAGGGGGGCCTTTGCTCCATGCCGATTGATGGGGAGGCTGCGGCTTGCTGGAAGGTTCGGCC